CACACACACACTCACACACACACAAACAAGCAAGCAAAAATCACAGACAAAACCGTTGTCCAAGCGTACAGCGATAAGGTACCAGCTAAACAGTTCGATGGGTATAAATCATAGCCATATTATTCTCACTTGCATAAGTCTTATTATATGCTACACAACCACACACTACTCATATAATATAGACTAGATCTACCGCTAATACGGTAATACTATTCATGCACTGTGTGGTGTGGTGAAAAACCAACTAATCTTATGAAAGGCAAATGGACTCAGCAAACGTCACACGAGAAGTTGACATGGGAAACGAAAAATGACACCAGCAATCCACGGTAACCTGCCTTAATATGACTTATGGGCTAAAAATACGCTTAAGAGAAACTTTGTAATGTTATTTCACCAGGTCAGACATAACGGTGATAGTCAAACATACGAGATCTAGATCTAGTCTATTTCTTACTTACTGAACGGTATTTTGGAATTTTAAGTAAAATTTTCAGTGTGCTGAAATCTTTGCATGAGCTTTCAGGGATGGTGTTCCTTCAGGGATTGGGTAGGATTCAAAATTAGATTCTGTATAAAAATAGAAACACATGGCGTTGCTCTGCGCGACCTGTTTCGCTTGCTGTGGTCTACATTAAAATTCCGGGCTGTCACTGCCTATCAGCTGACTCACTACGTCATCGGTCCAGTTCGCCTTTTCAGAAAATCATACATTCAGTCCCTTCCCTGAATGGACTGGTCAAAGTTTTAAAGCTCACATATCTGCTTCAGTTGGAGATTTTCACTTTTAAAAACGTGCCAAATGTTCGCACATAAATACTACGCATTCTCAACAAGGCAACTGAAGAAATCATCTTTATAACGTTGATTCATGGCGCGGCAGTGGGCTTTCCTAAAGCCCTGAAGCGTGTCAGCTCTATATTTAGCAACCACCTTAGGGAGGGGACAGGGAGCACGATATGAACAGAAAGGGAAATAAGGGAGGGGCGGGGGAGGGGGGGGGTTGAGAGGGAGGAACGCCCATGAATGCAAGGAAGAGGAGGGGACGTGTGCAGTGCACTGATGACTGATGGTGTTCTGCATGGGCTCAGATAGAAAGCATACAGAGCAAGATAAGACACACAGTGACACACACACACACACACACAGTCCACCTTGTCGTGAATATCTCGGTGTACGTGTATGGAAGGACAAAGGTGTTTCCTGTTGTGTCAGCAGAAGTAAAGAGAGAGAGAGAGACATGTATTGTCTGACTGGTGACACGTAACTGGTTATAATCAACCGAAATAGCCTGTCCTCTCTCTCCCTCTCTCTCTCCCTCTG